AACCGGCGCTGCAGAGGCTGCGGGCAGTTTCTCAACCCAGCGCTCAACTGCTGCGCCACCAGGGGAGGCCCTTCAATACAATTTTTAGTTCAAAAATGTGTTTGCTTCTTTTCCTATTTTTCTCCTAAAACACTGTCACCAATTGTTGCCAAGTTTTGCTGTCAATGCTTTCATATATTCGTGATAATGATGTTAAAATTCCTGCCTATGGAGTCTAAGAGTTTGTTTATGGGTGATCTCTAGATGTCTTCTTACTATGGTTCCATCTTTTACATTTTCAAGTTCATTGGGAAAGAAACTGAACTTATAGAAACTGCATATGAAACAGTAACGAAAACGAAAGTGTAATTTTTGTTTAGTTTAGATTGTTCCCAGAGAGCACAATCCTTTTCCTGTTAGGGTCACAGTGGTTATTCAGATTTTCAAAGAATCTTCTTCAACAGAGCCAAACGCATACTTTTTTAGCTTTAATCCACCTGTAATTAGTGTAACTCCTAATGCATTAGCACTATGTATTTCTTTTAGTATTTGAGCTGGAAGGACTTTGGATTACTTTCAGAAAATTTTGCATCATCTTTAGAATCAATTTTGATAGGGTGCAGAATCCAGGCCCTGTGAGGCTACAGAGGAATACTTATTACATGTGTTTCCAAGCTTGTCCTCTACTGCAACTTTCTTGGTAGTATTTAGGTGCAACTGGTATCTGTGGAAGGGAGAACTGTCAAGGTGAGTAAGGTGTTTTCAAATCTGGAGCTTATTCTGGTTATCTTTTGTTCCATCACAAAATAAGCAGCTTTAACATTTGAAAAGACATTAGAATCAAAATAAAACAAGAACACTTGAAATGAAAACAACACTTTTATTATGTTCAGGAATCATGTGGATTAGGTGCAAGGTGACCCAATGGGAAGGTGCAGGAATCATTTTGAGGAGGCTCCAACACATGCTTGCTGGTTGATGCCAATGAGTGGCTGGGGACTCAGCTTGGAATAGTCCAGAACACTTTCACCACATGACCACTCCTCACATCAAGGCTGCCAAGGAATCCTTGTATTTCAGTCAGAGTTTGAAAGTCATGTGGACCAGTCAGAAGTTATACAACCTTGAGTGATTTAGCCTCAGAACTCAAATATTTCTCCGTCATGTCATAAACTGAACTTGATTCAAGGGAGGCATTATAGACACCGCCCTTGGTGGGAAAAATGTCAACATCACATTGCAGAAAAGAGAATGTTGGATGGGAAATACTGTTAAGGCATTTTTTTTTTAAAGATTTATTTATTTATTTATTTATGCAAGCACTGGGTAGTCAGAAGTGCGGGAGGGTGAGAGAATTCACCAGAGCCAGAGCAGGGAGCAGAGCAGGCAGACTGACGAAGCACACTGCTGAGGGGAGCAGCAGGCGGCTGGAGAGGTCTGCACGCCATGTGGGACCCTCACCAGCGGCCGGGGAGCAGCCAGGGATTGAACCGGTGCTGCAGAGGCTGCGGGCAGCTTCGCAACCCAGCGCTCAACCGCTGCGCCACTGGGGAGGCCCAAAGCAATTTTTTAAAACATCAATCTAGTGCAGTCTTCTTCCAGATTCCAGTACCCTGAATTCCACACTGCTGCTAATTCCTAGTTGATTTCTCTTCACCTCCATCTTTGGCAGGTCAATTCTTCATTCGCCCTTATTTAGCCCAGATACCAACTCCCAAGTAAGAAGCTACTGAGCTTGTCTGTTCATGTATGACTATCTCATTCATCTTAAACATCAGTTCAAATAGGCTTCCTTTTATTTATCATTCCTTGTTGACTGCATGGAAAAACTGGTTTTAAGTTTTGTTGAGGTTTTTCTTGTAACTATGTCTTTCTTATCCTTCTACATCTGAACTAGAAGCAGAAATCTCTCCATCAATGCTTAATTTCAATGTATTTTTCATTTCTACTAGTTTTGTTTTAATTCCTTTTATTTTTTTAAAGATTTATTTATTTATACACACAAGAACTGGGGTATAGGCCAGAGTTGTGGGGGGTGAGAGACAGAGTGGGAAACAGAACAGGCAGATCAGCTGAAATACACTGCTGAGGGGAGCAGCGGGTGAGTCAGGAGAGGTCTGCTGCGCCATGTAGGTAGCTCCCTGGCCGGGGCTCGAGCTCGTGCTGCAGTGGCTGCAGACAGCTTCATAGGTTGCATCTTAACCCCTTCTGCCACCAGAGAGGCCCTTGATTGCTTTTATATTCCCTTTCTTTAAAAAAATTTATTTAAATATACTTATTTTATGGTGTCTATGAAACTCATGGGATTTTTCCTTCTACTATTTCTGTGTCTGCCTGTGTAATGATAGCATGGTGTAATATGTGTAATATGTGATTGCAGGCTCATGGTTACATCTATGCAAAATCTGTGCAACCTAGATGGAAAGTATATTTCTAAACCCCCACCCTCCCCCAGTGAATTTGCTTTTGTTTTGCAAGAATTCACAAGAGCATCTCTGCCTCACAAAATTATTTTTTATGGTAAAGTTATTGGCCTAAGGCTCCAAAACTCTGAGGTTAAAGTAAATTCCAATAACTTAACTAGAAGGGAAACAGGCCTTTGTGTCTAATACTTAGTAGCCACAGGCCTCCTCCTTCAGTATATGAGTGTCCCCTAGACCTCAGAGGTGGGTTCATGGGTGGCTATCATCCCTCTAGCTTCTCCCAGTGAGAAGGCAGTGTGTGCTCTTGTTCAAGTTATTGTTTGAGAGCTACAGAGATGAAAATAGTGCTCCTAAATTTTCAATTTATAATGGAGAAAATATACACAAAAGAACTAGGTAGTCCTTGGTCAAGTTAAACATGGGGCTAGGCTATGGGTCTTTCACATAGTATTATTTAACACTGAATAAATAAGACTTCAGGAACCATAATGACACTGGGCTATGGCTTTTTGACAAGATTATTGTATTTTGGTTCCCAGCACAAAACACAACTAGTTTGTAGGTGGTGTGATATCCCCTTAAGTCAGTGGATAGTCTCACTTTCAGGCATCTCATTTCTGCCTCTGCAGACCCTGGGACGGGCAGTGCCTGACAGTTGGAGAATATTTTTCTCTATGTAAGCCACACTTTCTTAAAGCCTGACTTCAAGTAGTGATGTGGAGTATGCCTGAGTGTGTGATTAAGAAGGATTCTGAAAAAGCTAGCATTATTTTTTTTATAAATTGTGATATGTAGCGACAAAGGAATTAACTGCTTTGCAGTTGCTCCTGTATTATACAAACTACTTATTTAAATGCTCATTTATACTAACAAGCCTGTAATATAAATCTTATTATTTCATTACCTCTATGTTATATACTCATAAGTAGTATCTCATGTAAATTTAGGTAATCAAAACTATACTCCAATGAACTGAAGGAATGAATTTGTGTTTCTATTATTTAGACTAGTGCGGTAATGGAGGGGACAGAATTCTTGCTCTTGAGGGGTCCCCAAACTCCCAGAACAACATTGAGACAACCTAGATAAAAAAGTTGCAAGGTGGTAGGATGAGGTGTCCTAAGTCCTGTTGGAACAGGCAGACTAAATCATGGATGGATAAGTCCTGACCCAACAATTTGGCACCGATCATGAAGCACCATGATAGATAAAGTGTCAGATCATGACTAATAATTAAAATTTCCTGGTGAGAGAAGGCTGAGAGCCCCCGTGTGCAGCTGGAATGTAACCCATTTGCAGATATTGGGTGCATACCCCAACCCACATCACGCTATGAGGCTGCTGCTGGCCCCCTACCCACCTTTTGTGCACTTAACCTACAAGTATTTCCTTCTAACTCCCTGAAGGGAGTCGTCAGACTATATATATTCTCCTTTCCCAAGCTGGCTCCCTCACACATGAGTCTCTCTAACAAAGCCTTGCCTGGTTCAAATACAAGTAGCACTCTGGTGAATTCTTTCCCTAGAAGGGCAAAGGACCCACTCTTTCGGTATCAGGCCAGTAGGCTACCACTAGTATTCTGCTACAGTGCTCACACTAGCGACCAGGAGACACAACTTAACCAGTCCCTGACCCTCTTTGCTCCTCTCCTGCAACACGAATTAGGCCTAAGCTCCCACACAAGAGAAGCACCCCTCCACCGCTGAGGACTCCTGGGGCGCTAGGGAAGCCGCTCAAGTGGCTTTGGTTTTGTTTTTTTTCAATGTATGCATACAAGAGCTGGGGTACAGACCAGAGCTGCAGGGAGTGAGAGGACTCACCAGAGAGAGCGGGGAACAGAACAGGCAGACTGACTGACACGCACTGCTGAGGGGAGCAGCGGGCGAGTCAGGATAGGTCTGCCGCGCCATGTGGGTAGCTCCCTCCTGCTGCAAAGGCTGCAGACAGCTTCACAGGTTGCATCTTAACCCTTGCGCCACTAGGGAGGCCCTCACGTGGCTTTGGTACAAAGTTCGAAGGCCGAGGCTTCTCCGTGTGCACCCTGAGGCGGTCGGGCCCCAGCAGGCAGAACCGGCCGGGAGAGCACGAGACTCGGCAGCCAGGTCAAGGTGCGCTAGCCCAGCCTCCACACCCAGCGCCGGGGTGAGGGGGCGGCGGGGCCGAGGAGCGCACGGAAGTGACGCGCGGCTGTCGCCGGAAGAGGCGGGGCTTCCGCGGCGGCGCCCAATGGGGGCCCGGGAGGGGCGGGGGCGTGGCGGCGTCGGCGGCTCGGCGACGCGAGAAGGCGGGGCCTGGGCGCGCGCCCCTCCGGGACTGTCCTCTTCGGCGGCGGGAGGCGCTCGCTGTGCCGGGCGCGGGCTGAGCCGAGCGGGGGGCCATGCGGATGGCGAGGGCGTCCCGAGCCCACAGCCCGGCGCTCCCCCCTCCCGCGGCGGCGAGTCGGCGGCGGCTGGAGTGACCGCTGCCTTTGTTCCGAGCGCGCGTCCTTCGGCGGCCCCGGCCCCTCGCGCCGCCGCGCGCCGGGTCCCGACGCCCCTCGGCCGGCGCCGCGCGGATGCGGCTGCCGGGCCCGGGCCTGGGCTCTGCGCGGGAGGAGGCGGGGGCGCGGCGCGCCGGGGCGGCATGCGATGGGGAACTGCTGCTGGACGCAGTGCTTCGGGCGCCTCCGCAAGGAAGCGGGGCGCCTGCAGCGCGGAGGCGGCGGAGGGTAAGCCCCCGGGAGGGGCGGGGAGCCCGGCTGTGACCCCGGGGAGGGGGGCGGGGGGAGGTGGGGGCCCGGGGCAGGCCCGCGGGGAAAGTTGCTGCAGGCACCGTCCCTCGCGACCTGGGCCGTAGGACGGGCTCGGCTGCAGCCCGGGCACACCCTACAAGGAGCCAGGGTTGGATGCCAAAGGTCGTGGCTCTGTGTCTGATCGTATCTTGGGCCCTGCCGGTGAAGGTGAGGATCTGACTGCAAGAACTTGATGATGCCAAGGAGGTTTTTAGTACAAGTCGCCTGCATGGTGCTGGAGTGAAGGTTCCAGGGAGAGAGTAACTCGGGCAACCTGGGCACACTCTACATGGAGCCAGGGTTGGATGCCAAAGGTCGTGGCTCTGTGTCTGATCGTATCTTGGGCCCTGCCAGTGAAGGTGAGGATCTGACTGCAAGAACTTGATGCCAAGGAGGTTTTTAGTACAAGTCGCCTGCATGGTGCTGGAGTGAAGGGTCCAGGGAGAGAGTAACTCTTGGACGTGTCCAGCGACTTGCGGGATGCATGGAGCTCCCTCCAGTGTCTATGCGGACTCTGGGTGCTGATAACAGGGGCAGTGTGTGGTTATTTCATGCTGTTTTTTTTAAGAATTTGGAGAGGAATACTCTACCCAGTTTGCTGCCCACAAACCAAGGAAGTCACAGTGCTTCTGAACCGCCCTTCTCGATTAAAAGTTGGATTTGTTTAGGTGGTTCTACTAACGTCATCCCTAGAATAAAATTTCACAGTGACTGCATTTTCGTGTTTTAATTTCCTTGGATAGTGAAAAAATTAAGATGAATTCCTTTGAACTAGTTCATTGTTGTTAAAGCCTCTCAGGAATTCCAACTTAGAATTGAAAATCTGAACCCAGCTGCTTTGTATAAGGAATAAGACTGCTCTGCACTTTCTGGAACAGACTGCAGAGTTCTCAGGATCTGTTCCATTTAACAGTATTAGGTAATAAGGTGTTCGTCATAAACTGAAGCCAAATGACTTATAATTTGGCACTTTTGGTGAGGGAGATCTTTTGTGATTCACTTATTAGTTCATCAGGCAGTGTGTCACCTCTCTGATGACAGTATTTAGCTGAAGTTGTACAAGAAGTGTTCCTGGAACGGAAAAGTAAGAACTTAAAGTTTAATGTTGGTTTCCCTGATTTAAGGACTGTTACTGTTATACAGTAACATGGTAGCTGTCTTATCTTGTCATACTATTACCTAATTTAGTTCTAATTTGACCCACCCATTAGTCATGCTGCTTAAATACTCCTAATAACTGGATGACACAAAATCTTTTTCTTGATTAATATTTAGTATTTTATTTGTAGTTGCACTGTGTTAAATTCTAACTCTATAAAAATAGCGTCTTATGCTCTAATTGGGTGAGCAAAAATCATTTATTCCTGGACCACACTGCCCTATATCTGTGGGAGCTTTGTTATGTACTTTGAAGGCAGGTGACTATGCAAACTAATTCTATTTTCCTCAGCATATAGTGTTAAAATTGTAGATTCCTCTCCCTGGGTATATGAGCTTGGCAGCATAGAGAAGGGGCAGGGTAAATCAGTAAATTAGTGTGAGCATTAATTATCTGCAGATGGGCTGTAAAAGCATACTAGTTGGATCCGTGCTCTTGTGGTGTGGGCAGAAATTGAACAAATAAAACCTGTTGAGATGGTGAGAGTCTGTGTGATGCAGATTCTGTCATCAAAACCATGTAATGGTGATATCCCCCTTTTCTTTTACTCCGTAAACAGTTCCTTTACTTGAATCTTCTGATTAACATATTGTATTACATTAATTCTAGTATTAATTTAGGAGAATAATGTAAATCTTAAGCTGATTTAACCTGCGCATTCACTAGAGTGTTCTGTGGTACAGGGGCTGTTTTCTTAGCTTTGTAGATTTCCCAGGGGTGCCTCAAAGTGAGATCACTGACATTATTCAGTTTGAAAACCATAATTATTGGGTTTTTAATGGTAAAATATTGGTGATTTCTTGTATTATATTCTAGACTATGTTGGTAATCGAAGTATCAGTGTTGGGATATGAAGTCTCTATCATTGCTGAAGTTATGTCAGAAACTACTAATAGAGAAATTAAGTATCTTTAAGGAATAAAATATAAATAGCCTTACAAGTTATCCTTCACTATGGGAAATTTTGCCTAGGAGCACATTCTGGAGAGTTCCATTTGCAGATCAGTTCTTCTGTTTCCTTGGACAGTACTAGAAATCTTTTGTATGGGCACTTAGCTATGTTCTTTGTTTTTTTTTCTTTTTCAACCGGAAATCCTAGTTATCTTGTGTTGTGTTTTAATTCCCATTTTTATCTTACCTTGTAATTCCACACAGGGTTTCCTCTTAAAATGTACTGTAGTTTATATAAAGGGACCATCATGTATCCTTCTTGATGTTTAACCTTTGTTGGCCTTTTTGACTCCAGCAGCAGCAAAGTTTGCCTTCCTGCAATAGTTTACAATGATTTGCTGTTTCCTAGTGAAAAAAAGACCTTAATAAATGCTGCCAACATTTGATTACTTCCTATGAGCCATACATTGTTCTAAGTACTTTACATTATCGCATTTATTCCTCCACACAGTCCTGAGAGGAAGACAAGTAGTATTATATACGTTGTAGGTTGAAAACTGATGCTTAGAAAGTTTGCCCGAAATAGCAGAGCTGGGATTGTAGCCCTCTGAATTCACAGCCCCTGCCCTTAACCACTAATGTTTTTCCTCTGTATTCTGTAGGTAAAACGTGGTTGTTCTATTTCTTAGTGCTTTATCTTGTTCTTTGTCACCTGAAGGTCTTATGCATGTCTCAACAAGTTGGCTCTTTTGGTGTGATAAGCTGTAATCTTTTTCTTCAAACTATGTCCATGACCTCTGGGCAGTTTTTATTTTTATCTTCATTTTCCTGTTCCCATCCTTAATAATTTTACTTAATCTGCCTGTTAAATACGGAATATGCCTCTCCTCTCATTTTTTTCTTTTCACATGCAGCTCTGAAGATATTTCATTTATTCTGGTAAGTTTTAGCCACCACCATTTCTAAATCTCATGTCTTCTGAATAGACCTCTTCAAAGGTTGAGCACTATGCCATGAGTGCCCACTGTAGAAATACACTTGGATATACTAAGGCTTCTCAACACAGCGTATCAAAATACCTATTGTGTTCCACATGTATCTGAACTTCCCAAGTTCCCTTAACAGCTCTATTCACAGTCTTCTAATCTGCAAGCTTCATAGCCTCTACCTCTCTCTGATCAGCTGTTCAATCTCTCTTTAATACATACTGAACGTGTTTCCTTCCTCTGCTCCTGCCTTTAAACATTGTCTTTGAAACTACTACACCGACTTCTAAAATGTTCTCTCTCTTGTTTCTCTCACACTCCAGGCCGCCTTCCCTTCCTGTCACTGGTGTGAGGGTTTCTAAAACCCAGATTAGATCATGCTTTTCCTTGCTTAACAATTTCCCTGTTCGTCTACAGTGCTCAGCCTTTTTTTCCTCTTATGACAGATGATGAATTGCATGGCATTCAAATGTGCAGTATAATGTTCATTTGTATACTCAGGATTAAATGCAGTTCTACTTTTAGATAAAGAGTGTAATTTCACTCTTTGTTCTCTCATTCAGAAAATCATGTTAGAATACAAATCAGTGAGAATAACATAAAAAAGATAACATTGAATGCTACTTTTAAAAGCTTAACTCTTTATATACCTTAGTATGTAAACTTTAAAATAAACGATAACGTTCCAAATATAAGTAGCGTCAGGTTTAAACTCCTGACAAGGCAACTTAACCTTAATCTATTTTACCAACCTAATTATGTTTTCCTTGGAGTATTGCATTAAAACAGTAGACTTTACTCCCTAAGCACTTGAGCTTGGCAGCACAGGAAAGCAGCAGGAAGAAATCAAGAGTCTGTATTCTCTGCCATGTTTTCATTTGTCCTAACTCCTATATTTTTTAACATCCTGTATTTCACTGGAGTGCATTTGTTCCAGCTTTCCTAAATACTGGGTTCTCCCATCCTGTGCCTTTATGTGTGGCATCTTTTATTTCTATTCTTGGTGAACTTTTACTGATTTTTAAATATTACCTTCCCTGTGAAACCTGCTGCAGCCCCCTGAGACAGTATTATCTCCCTTAGGAAATAATATTTTCCACAGGCTTATTCAATCTGCTCTATATGAGGGATTGGTAGACTTTTTCTGTAAAGGACCAGATAATACATATGTTAAGCTTTGCAGGTTATGAGGTCTCTTGCTAACCACTCTATATTTTGGTCTACGAGCAGCCATAGATAAACGTGACTATGTTCCAATAAAACTTTATACACTCAAGCATTGGGCCTGATTTGGCCTTCCATTGTTTGCTGGCTCCTGGTACATATAAGTTGAGAGCTCCAGAAGGCCAGGGACTATGTTTTGTCTTTCTCTTTCCACTCACAGCATCTCATGTTTATTGAATGACTAGCAAGAGGGTGTTACTTATAAACTTGTAACATTTAAAAAACTTTTTCTTTTATCCTTCTTTTTTTTTGGGTGGGGAGAGTTTCAAGATAATTCTCTGACTTTGGTAAAAAATAACACACATTCACATAGTCAAACACATATCCAACTGATTTTGTTTTTTTAAAAAGAGACCGTATAGGGTAGCGGTCAGCATTTTTAAAATATTTGATTATAATATATATCATTGAAACAGTAATCATTGGTGTCATTGAAAGATTCAGCTTGCTTTTTCTACATTTTTGTCGGCTTGGAAAAATAGGTAAAAGTGTAAAGTGTTTCTTTTGAAATTTCATAAGTTAAGAAAGAAAGCAGCAAAAACTTAAATGAATATAGATTTCCTGAACTTCTATGTTACACCTTAGAGGGTTCCTGGGGCTTTGTTCCTGACCTCACTCTATTCTCCTGTAGCGTATTTTCCTTCCTTAAGATACCTTCCCTGGCTCTTCCAGCTCAA